TAAGGTTTTCGCTTTATTTTTACATTTTTCGATCACAGCGCGATGTTTTCGTCGTGCTGTGATGACGTCAAATGCGCGCTTTCGTCGATCGCGATTTTGTCCTCCGCGGTTTTGACGGGTCACGGGGAGGAGTAACACGTGGGTATTACCCAAGCCTTCTTTCCTATTGGAGACTGAGGTATTAATCTTTTGGAGCCACACCTCCGTACCTCCTCCGACTCCCCCAGATTAACCTCAGTCTCGGCCTGAAAAGGATTGTTACTCCGTCTCTCCCTTCTCTCCGAAGACTTAAGAGTATTTTTCTCCAGAATTGGCATCAGCGATTACTACCTACAGGGATTCCAACAGACCTTTCCTCTCACCTCTCCTCCGCTGTGCTCCGCGCCGCTGGGAAAGCCTCGTTGCAAACCAGCGTGAGCGTGCACGCTATATATTCCTCTTTCATTAGATACTCTTTGCATTGAGAAGAACTTTTAAGTACCCAGAAATTGGACCTCGGTGCTAATTAGGGCTTTATTGATCTGGGAGATCTTTGTATCTGTAAATAAATGCAGATGCCTCTAAAATTCTAGGCCTGCAGCTTTCACACTAGTTTTTTGGACTCATTTTCTAAATGACTCATTCTATATTTAAGAATCTGTCTTCTATTGACGTAGTTGTTTTATGGTACTATTTACAGGAAGTTTTGGCCAACAACAGCATCTGCCTTTGGTGAGAATAAAAAGGTATGTTTTATTTACAGGAATTTTACTTGTACAATTCATGTTTGTTATCAATTTTTTGTCTGAATTTTTATCCTGGTTGAAAGAGAATTGGGAGAATATACTGTCAGTATCTTTCAGTTAATGTTTAAAGTATCAAATCGTGTATCTTTTTTTTACACTTAGTAGTTCTTCTACAATTGTTCCAGGAACAATTCATATTTCCTGCAGCAATAACATTGTGATATTTACAGGAAACGTTTCTCACACATATTTCCTATCATTTTTTTTTAAATTTTTGGTTTCTTAGAATATTTCATTATTTTGGCAGAAAACTTAACCATTCCCAAGATGTTCAGATTCTCTGTTGGTTGAAGGATGCTTTCTTTTAGAAACTGCATTTTGTGATTTTTTATAAAGTACAAAATATCCTATGAATGGTGTGACAGTGAGGCATCACTTTTGCATCATTATGCCTTGTAACAGTTATTTTAAACCAGCAGCTAAATAATATTTAGGTCAACCATAGGCTTTTTATGAAATGAACATATTAAAAGTATAGGTGTGGGATCCTAGGTGGTATCTGAGCTTGGTTGTGTTCTTGTAGAGGTTTCATTACCAATAGGTAACATTGTTAGTGCTAGTAAGCAATGGGACTTGCTCTCAGTTTATAAGGAGCCGAGGTGGCGCAGTGGTTAAATGCAGCACTGCAGGCTACTTCAGCTGACTGCAGTTCGGCAGTTCGGCTGTTCAAATCTCACCGGCT